ATGTGTATTTGTTCACACAGTTATGTGTATTTGTTCATACAGTTATGTACATTTTTTATACAATTATGTACATTCTTTTTATACAATTATGTACATTCGAATCAGAAAATTTGTGTTTATTATGTTAATAGTTGATGTGTATTATGTTAAAAGTTTATGTTTATTATGTATTATGTTAGATTATGTGTATTATCTTTTAAAAAGAGTATGTATATTTTGTTATATAATTATGTACATTCATGTATACAATTATGTGTATTCTAGTATAACATTATGTACATTCTTGAACAGCGGGTTTTTTTTTTTTTTAAAGAAAAAACTACTGCCATTCACTGGGGCGGAAAATTTCAAAAAAAAAAAAAAAAAAAATTAAAACGACGTCGTTTTGCATCTGGGCGCATAGTGCAACGCGCGCCGTGGTGTAGGATATAAATTGCCTTCATCAACATTTACCTTCTTTATTTTGGATGACGAGAAAAATTGTTGTTACTATTCGAAAGTGTATATTAAGATAACTCCATTTTTGTGTAATAGTCAACAAATCACACATAAAAGATAAATTATACTAGAATGACCCTATAAAAGAAGTTTGACCGAGTGGGTGAAAAATTGTTATTGTTTTCAATATTGCCTCAAGTCTACTAGCTTAGGTGTAATAATGGATTCACAACGGCTAATCCTAATTTTCAAGTTCTTTAAAGGATGAAACTCCTTAAACCAACTTACCGAGCTGACTTCAAAATGGTCCAAGCTAAGTTCATTCTTCTTGGATTAAAGTTTTCTTAGCTTAAACTTTTAGGCCACTCGTCTTAATTATCTCACCAACAATCACGAGTTAATTGCGAAAATTATCTATACCACCAAACTTGTTATGTGTGTGTGTGTGTTTTTTAAAGTATTATTTACCACCATCATTTCTAGCTAGGTGTACAATAGTGGTGTGGTAATCTACCCTGGCCTTGGTGATATAGCAATTAGAATCACAATTAATTATGGATTAGATGATGTTTATGATAAGGCAGTGATGCTTTCCATGTGACAATTATCCATAATGGAAAAATGAAAATAGTGGGTCAACTGTAATGTCGGAGAGAAAGTACAAAGATTGCAACATCAATTTCTCAAGATTTTTGAAGATATTTAGGATATTTAAACACTCTCAAACCAATATTTTATAAGCATCATATCTAAAAGAAAATCAAGAATTCATTATTTTTTATTTGTGCCAGACTTCCAGGCTAGATAAACTCATGACAATATTTAAATACGATCGAGAATTATGTTTTATTCGCTCGATTACCTCTTTTAAGGCGAAATTTGTTCGGTTGATAATACATACAGTATTATTCTTGACTAAAAGCTAGCAATGATGCCAAGGACGTTGTGGTCTAATGACACCAAGTTGCTTCCTTATAAGAGATGTTGTGGGTTTGAGCCCTCAGTGGAGGTGATATTGGCTTTCTGTGCTTCATTTGGTTGAGAACTTAAATATGAACAGATACTACATTGTAATAGATTTAGTAGCATTCAAAAAAAAAAAAAAAAAAAAAAAAAAAAAAAAAAAAGCCAGCAATGATTCTTGGAAATAAATTGATTACATTAAATGGATGCACCATCACAATTCTTTAATGGAGTTTTGGTAGACCTTAGGTGGCATGATAACGTAAAGATGAATAATTAGAGTTGTTTATTATGTTAAATACAATTAGTGATCTGTCATGTGAATACTAAACACTTAATAAATCATGTATGGTTTATGTAGCCTGCTTTCTTCCATGAAGGTGTTACATATTTTGATTGGAGATCAGATCACATCAATAGAGAATTACTCCAAAAGATTTGCCTCATTGTCACTATATATATAAAGTACTTGGGAAGAATCTCAATTTATATATTCCCATATGAAAGATATAATAGCTTAATAGGGAAAGCAAAGTAAAATGGTGCATCACCCACAAACCCTAAAAGGATTAATAGGGAAAGCAAAGTAAAATGGTGCATCACACACAAACCCTAACAGGGCGTTTGGTTGGAGGGATTTTAAATTTCCTTCCCACTTAATTCCCACCTAATTCCAAAGACCATTAAATTCCGTAGTTTGGTTGGAGGGAATTGCAATTCCCCCATTTTCATGGAATTAAAATCCCATGTCCCCCCCTGGTATTTTAATTCCTGGGAAAAAAAGATAGTGATGAGTCAAAATTACCCCTTCATTTTTTAACCTAAAATTAATGTCTAACAACAATAATGGATATTTTTTACTTTATACTACTTATTCCCTTTCAATTCCCATGTATACCAAACATTGGAATTGAAATTCCCAATAATTTTATTCCTGTCAACCAAACACTGGAATTTAAATTCCCACTTTATTCCCAGTAATTCAACTCCCATGGAATTACAATTCCTTTCCCACATAATTCCCTCCCTCCAACCAAACGCCCTGTAAAAGGATTTTCTTTTTAATTTCCAATACGGTATTCAATATCTTTATCACTGTAAAATTAATTCAATTTGAATTTAGTTCGGATTATGCCAGTAGAGTCTGATACTTATTTGAAAGAAGGCCTAACATGGTGTCGGATGGAGGCTTGGAGAGCCGAGTTCAACATCCTGTTATCGAACCATGACGCTGACTTCTACACAAGTACAAGGAAATAAAGTTACGTTGCATATTCGCTATTAGTTATAATTTTTGACATAGTGATAAATGCTTGATTTTGACAACTGGTATTAGAGCATATCAGAGGTTTGAATAAGCATAATGAATCCCATTAAAAACATGTTCTGACATAACTGCTATAACTTTTGACGTAATGCTAAACACTTAATCCTTATACACGATACAACCTTTTATTTACAAGTTTTAAAATAAAAACAATAGAAGCAATTGTCTCACACACACAAATTTTAAAATAGAAACAATAGAAGCAATTGTCTCTCTCTCTCTCTCACACACAATTGATTTATTCATTATACAATGATAAGATATTTTCAAACTTACCATCTTTGTCTTTTTATTTTTCATTCATATACAAACTTTTATTATTCTAAGACGATATGAGTAAGTCTATTATAATTATATCACTTTTAAAAAAAAGTTAAGGTTTACTGATTCATTAATATGACTCATTAATATCCATTAATAAGACTTAATTTATTTTAACATGAAAATTGTTAGGACATACTTTTTATTCTTGATTATAATTATCTATAGTAATACTTATCTTTACTACTATCTTATTACAAGTTCAAAATGCTCATTTTAATTATATTAAAAATAATCATTTTTATGCCAAGCACCTTGTGCTTAGATGGCATATAGTGACTGTGAGATCATGAGATCGAACCTCAGTGGAGGTGTTGTTGACTCTTTGTGTTTCAATAGGTTGAGAAATTATGTTTGGACAGATATTACAATGTAATAGAGTCAGTAGCATTCAAAAAAATAATTATTTTTATTTTATATTAATTAATTTTGATATCTAAAAAGTATACTAAGCATTTATTTATTTTAATTATCATGTTAGATATTAATTTAATTGCACAATGTGCTCATAATAACTAGTATACATATAATGCAATTTGATGAAACTACTGTCAAATCACCTACGTTACATTTTTAGCACGTGATGATTTTGGTGGTGTGGAAAAGAGTTTTGTCAATAATTTTGGCGTATTATAGCACTTTGTCAAAAGAAATGTTTTTCGGCGTGCAAACATAGCACGTACTATGTTTTGATTTGGTTCCTCAATAATTGGGAGACTCCAATAGTCCAATTTGCTCCAATTCTTAAAAATAATTATTTGAAACCCCATTTATTACTATATAGTACATACAACTCAGTGTAATAATATCATGGACCAGCAAGTTAGTATGTATATTTATCATCAAATTAAATCATTGCATATTAGCTACCCAACTTGTTTTTACTTATGTTAATTACGGAGTATAATCATAACTTCGTGGACACATTTCATAACTCTACTGATTAAATTTTCTAATAATTTTTGTTGATAGTTTGTAATAACAATTTTTTTAAAAAAATTTCTAAGATTACCGAAAATGTCATTTTCAACCGAAACCCTATGTGACCATTGGGGTAGTATAACTTAGATCAGATGTACTAAGATTATATACACCAGATTACCAGAAGATAAAGTGAAGTAAGAAGGAAAGGGAAGCACTAGTCACTCATGGAATGTATAATCAGACTAAAACCATAATGGAATTAAATCATTTCTGCACAGTAGACAATCACATCAATTGGACAAAGATACAGGACCGAGTCCTAATAGTTGCAACGTGAGTATTATACCTAATGTGATAGATTCTTGTGACACTCAGCACAATCCTTTCACCTAATAGGCTGCTGAATTACCGTAATTTAATTTACTCATTCACTATTCTGTCAAGCTAGAATATGAAGATCTTAAAACGAAAGAATTTTGTCTTTTGTGTTCAATAAATGTAAATGAGAGGAGACAACTCCATCCACCAAAGTTAATTCAGTGCAGATCCCTATAGAATTTATTGCATGCCCCATATATATATATATATATATATATATATATATATATATATATATATATATATATATATATATATATATAAAACACCAACATTATCTGCAGCCCATTTAGTATATAATGACAAATATCTGAATTCTCTAGATAATTCAGATGAATTGAAGATGCAATAATAGTACCATGATGTGACCAAAAAAAAGAATAAAATTATGAAGCAGGTAAGTGATTACAGAATAAAACCATGATGTTTTGATTCCTATTAATGCTCAAACCTTTGCAAAACTATATTTGGATCATCTAAATTCATAGACTGCAATGTTCATTAAAGATACTTAGTTGCAGAAAATAGACTCATCATATGAAATTAAAATTATTCCAAAATTTCCCACATACTTAGTTGCAAAAATGATGTTTAGTTGAATGACAACTACGCAAAAAATATGAAAAGTAAAGATGACCGTCACGAGATATATAGGACAAAAAAAAAAAAACATTTTCCTCTTTATTTTATCTGTTGCAACTTATTGCAAAAATTCTCCCAGAGAAACCCACAGTATGTATGACACTAATACATGTAGCAAATTGAGAGAAAGTAACAAGCAACATGGACAAGAACAACGACCTTTGAATATGCTAAAAGTTATTGATAACCTCAGTCAACTTTTGTTGCAAGGCTTGAAGATCGATGGGTTTTTCACCTGAGACCTGCAAGAATTACATTGAATATGTCAGAAGTTATAACCGATAGTAAATATGCACTTTTATTTTTTTAAACTTAACAATCAAGTCAAGATGTTAGGCTCGGCTCTCCGAGCTACAACTGAAGTGAGAATTGAATGAAATGTTTGAGCAAAACCCTAATTCTAGATTTATAATGAGAAAATTGTTTTTTCATTGTACCTCAGACTGAACCCTATGAAGCAACCTAGTATCTGCCTTGGTGGAGTCGCAGCTGACAACGTTAACCCCTTGGTTCTGCAGCGTCCGCAGCACTCTTGACAGGGGGAAACAGCCCCTCTCGCCGGCGACGTCACTGTTGATCAGAATCTCGACGCCGTCCCGGCAACGGCTGACGGAGACGAAGTTCGGGGGAGAACCGGTTTTCTGATCTGGGCTTCCGGTTTTTGTTTTCTCCAAATTATGGGAACTGGAAGTGGACGACGCCGCCGCCGTCTTTAGCCCGTCTCTCCTCCTCTCCAATTCTTGAACATTTTTCTGCATTTGTTTGATGTAATTCAACGCTTCGTGCATGTGATCCGATGTCGAACGCTTTCCCTGTACCGTACAACAAAACATAATTACTCTGGTCGGCAACAACATATTACATTAAGACTGTGCTACAGACAAGACAAGTTGGTATTGAGTGGTAAATTATAGGTAAAAACATAAGATCGAATCCTGACATGTCGCAGTCTGAGAGTTATCCATCAATGTGATGGGTTTTTTATGGGCATCAAGTAAATTTTACTGATTTATCTTTCTACTATCTTGTTAGTTCGGATATGGAGGCCTAAGGGTAAGGAATTTCGTCTTTTTTGGACAAAGTTGCATAATTAGTGGTTTGTGTCCAGATTTAACAGCAGAATTATTGTTTGATCAGAACCAAGAAAATTACCTCAAAAGCAAGCAGCAGCAGTGGTTAATTACCTTTACATATTCAAGAGGGAGGAGAGACCGGAGAGAAGCATAAAGGGTGGCCATTTCCTGGCGGCGCTGCCGTTCGATTTCTCGATGCATAATTCTCTTCAGCTTGTGATACTCATCGGGTTTAGCGGCCGCCGCAGGAGCAACATCATCAGTTTTCTCCCTCCGTCGCCGCTTTCTGGAAGAACTGGCGGTGACCGCCGCCGCGGAGGCGGTTGTTGTTGCGGCGAAGTCATGGTGGTGAGCGCCGGTGGCGAAATCCAGAGGAGCAAAACCATAGTTATTATTGATATTATTACTATCAAAAATCAGATCTTGGGAGATCTTGTTTTGCTGGGAAGGGATATCAGGAGTAGAGAGAATCTGAAACACCAAATCTTCACTTCGCTGTAAAGGAAACATTGCTCCGACCAAAGACCAAAGTACAAGGAAATAAAGAAAACAAATGTAAGAAATTTCCGAAACAAATAAGGAAACTTCCCTCTTCTTATTGAGGTTGTAATAAGAAAAAGGTAAAGGTAGGAGATGATAGGGTTGTTAAGATTGAGAAATCTGGAATGGGCCTTTCTATGCCATGATTCCCAGCTGCAATAAACAAGACGCAGCTACTTACCACATCTCCACCTCCAATAATTTTTTCTTTTTTTTTTTTCTTCTTATAATTGGAATGGGTACTACTGACTTACTCAGTCCTACTGACTCTCTTATTTATGGCTTCACATTCACACTCCCAGCCCCACCATCCCCAACTCTATTGCAAGATAATGTATAATAAAAATACCAAATTACTATTACTTTTTCTTTTCACCCATTTTTCTTGGTGGTCAGAAATAGAATGAGTAACTCCATAGTTAGATAGTTGACTTAATAATCATAATAATAAGGTATCAATTCGACTTATTACGAAAGGTGCCTATTAACTTTCCTCATTTGGATTGATCAATTCGACTTATTACGAAAGGTGCCTATTAGCTTTCCTCATTTGGATTGATCCGTTATGAACAACTTATGCTAATTTATCTCATTACATACTTTTAGGTAAAAAAGTAAATAGAATATATACCCGAGAGATAGAGAATATGATGGTTAAAAAAAAATAAAAAAATACAACCACATAAATCAAAGGATAATTACTATTATCATAAGTTTAATTACATATAAATGTTGATAATCAACTTTTGTGTTTGATTGGATCAGTTGATTTCGAATTGATATGATGGGAAACGATAAGTTGTAACTTTCTTTTCTGAGTTTTCTCCATTTTCTCGGGAGTAGTAATCGTAAGAAAAAAAGTCGTATACGATATGTTAGTGAGTACTACGTATGAGCTAACGATGTTTTGATTCAATAATTAAACCAAAATTAAATCTGGTTATTAGTTAATCTTGGATGATTTGACATGTTTAGGATCTGTCGATCTTTAATTGTGTGACAGATAGCTTATCTTCGCTCTAACAACGTGGCTCTATGGTGTGCATTAAAAATTACATATATATAATATTCATTATTAAACGCACACAATAGTAATATTTTATATGCAGCATATATAGTAATAAGAATGTGGACTACTATTAAAAAAGAGTTAGGATATTTGAATAAATAGTTAAAGTAAAATTGTTATTTTATTTAAAAAAATATCATCAAAATTTTTTAATATGTAATAATAGGCATTGGTTTTTAACTATTCTATATTGTAAAATTTCATAAATATATTCAAAATTTTCATAAATTATGTAATTTTTTACGATCTAATATCATTTGATTCGTCGATCCTCAAAAAAAGAAATAAGCAAAGTTGCTTTGTTGAGTGACAGATGAGAATTTTATGGAAAGTTACAATCCCCACCGCGGAATAGTGCACCTACACGCCTTCATCCACGTTGTTTTTCGACCGGAAGGTCGAGAGCTAACTATCGAGACTTTGGACTATCGGATACATACTTCGTGAAATGGTTCAAGCATGCCTATTGCCAGGGGCAACAAGATTGAGTTGGTAAGGATTCACGCTTCATTTCTATGGTCGATGATCATCGAGGCCCTTTACCTTTCTGTATAAATGGGTTATTCTATTTGTACAGATAAAGTAGGGGGAAGTGCTTAGACATTGAGGCCGTTTACTAATTGGAAATTTCTGAAAATTTATAGAAACTAGAAAATAGAAAATAGAAAACAGAAAACATATTTACTAGCACAGTTTTCCATTTTGAAAACTGAAAATAATTTTTCAGTTTCTAGAAAACTGGAATACTCTTAAAAATTATTTTCTAAATTGAAAACAGAATCATGCATCTATCATCTATTTAGTTATATGTCACTATAACCACATTACTGTGAATGTCTCTAGTTTGAAACACCATTTTAACTACTACTTTTGGCATATGATAAATTACTTCTCGATATTATTGATTAGCCATCAAAGTGGTTGATATATTGATATTACCGATCAGTTTGTCTGATGATTGAAAAATAATCAGCAAGTTTGTCAACACTTGACATTTACGGTAGTTGTTTGAAACAAATTTTAAAAAATATTATTAATAATAACCATGGTTGTCGGATCTACCACCGCATGGTGAAGCTTTTATGCCATGCAAAAACCATGTTGTTTGTTTTTTCTAAAAATTGAGTTTTTTATTTTTATTTTTTTCAGCTATTTTTTAGATGATATTTTAAAAAGTTGAAAAATCTTAAATTGTGACTTGTTTGTCATATTTTATTCAATTAGTATATAATTAAATAATAATCATTAATAGTCAATAAATATAAAACATTATGCATGCAAAGACATTAAACTTGTGTGAATATTATCTCCCATCCCTAAAAGTAAATCAATTGATAAGGAAAATGAGTATTAGTTTAATTAAATGATCGTTTGGACATGTTGTGAAAACAAATAATTGACAAAAACAATTCAATAATTGTAGAAGAATTGACTGAACAATATTTTAAGATGTCCAAATTGATTATATATTTTTATATAAGTCAAGCACATGTTGAATTATCTCATTCGTATTCACTATAAGATGTTAGCATATAATAATTTATATTAAAATTTAATTATTTTAAAAATTGGTGTGAACAAATCATGGAGTTTGAAATAAAAATTTACCTATTATGCAATGTGTAGTTTATATATTTATTTATTTATATTATAATCAATAGTTTTAGTTTCAAATGTAAACCAATTTTATCATGTGAACCTGTGTACCATATATTATGCACCGTTGATCTTGCTCAATCTTGTGGGTTGTGATTTATAATGATTTTGATCTGGTAAATATTACTGTTGTAAAAATCAGTCTAGGCGCCTCTAGACCGTGGCGATTTCCCCCCTAGGCGTCCGTCTAGGTGACTGGCCAGTCGACCGACTTGGCCGCCTAGCATCTAACTTAGCCGAGTTAACTCGTCCATTTCGATCGAGTTAACCCGATCAACTATGTGTGTGTGTGTGTGTGTGCGCGCGCATATATATATACATACATATATATAATATGACATATATACATCAGTAGACTAGTTTGATACTTTGAATCTTTGGATGATTGAAATATTTGTATTTGAGTATTTTTAATTTTTAATATTGTTTTCATGTTATGACTTATAAATTATTATTATTTCATTTATTTGGATGTGTTATTTGATTGAATGTTGAAAACAGTCTCATTAAAATTATCAAACTGTAAGTCTGCTACTGTTTTTTTGTGCCTGCCTAGCGCCGTCTTGGCTGCCTAGGTGCTAGACACTGTCCGGGCGCCCAACTAGCGCCTAGCGCCTACTGCGACCATGGTAAATATACATCATTACAGTATTACACCAATGCACTATATCACTCTACCACTGCACAATTGCACCGGATGCATCATTGTACCCCTCCTCATATCTTGGCCATCCAATCTCACATCTTAACCGTGCGAGGGAGTTCACAAGTTCACAGGATAGCAATGGTTCACATATGAAATAGATACATAGTCAATAAACTACAACTCCCTTCTTTTATCTCTCTAAAGTTTTTCTCAAGATTAGGTCGGCAGAGTGAGATTGGAGACAGAGTTAAAAAAAAAAAAAAAAAAAAAAAAAAAAAAAAAAAAAAAGTGGGAACACATCAAAGCAACACCATTATTGAAGGATAAAATCTTTAAAGAAAAAAAGATAAAGAAACGATATTGGTTTGGAGCCGTTGGCAGGCCAAGCTTCATTGGTATTGGCTGTAATTTTACCAAATCATATGATTGATGGACATAGTTCCAATATAATATTATATTATTATATTATGCATGGTTACAAAAATCGGCGCCTAGGCGCTAGGCGCCCGGCCGCCGCCGCGAAGAAGGTCGGAATCGGCCTCCTTCGCGGCCGGCCGGCTAGCCGGCTGAACTGGCGTAGAATTTTTTTTTTTTTTTTTTTTTTTTGCGTTGTAAAGTGGAAAAAGTTCAGGAAGGCATAACTTTTGACTCGGTTGTTCATTTTGGACATTTTTTTTTTCAAATCGCGTATTTTTTCAAAAAAATGCTTCTTTTACTCTTAATTTTAGTTTTTTTTTTTTATGTATTTAGATGGTTTAAACAATCTTTTGAACACTTTTACAACCACTTACGTAAATAGTTTGTAAGAAATAACTATGGAAATCTTATTTTTATTACTAAATTTTTAATTTTTAATTTTATTTTTAATTAAAAAAAATTAAAAAATAAAATAAAAAATAAAAAATTGACGCCCTAGGCGCTAGGCGTCCCCTTGGCGCCTAACGTTTTTTGCAACATTGATATTATGTCTAAATATTGACCTCACAAATTGCTTATTAAGAATGAATTGCATTGTTATCGATATTGTTAGAGATATTATTCATATTTTGATGGATTAATTTGGTAAATTTTGACATATTTAGTTGTCTGGTGTTTCTAAAGTCGTTTAATTACTTGCAGGTTGTGAGTGTCATTCATAAGGTTAGATCATCGGTCTCTAGTCATTCAGTGGTTTTACAGTTTTTCAAATGGTAACTAGGTCCCAATAAGAATTACTAAGAGACAAATTAAGATAAACATACGATGATACGAACACCATTAATCCGAAAGTTAGTTTTTATTATAATATCTCTTTTCTTCCACTTCAAGGCAATAGCTAGTTATTAGTTGATATTTTTATGAGTTTAGCTTATATTGACTTAATTTTAACCCGTTAAAACTCTGTTTGGTAAATGGCGATTAGTTGATTAGATTAATTAGAGGGTATAATTAGTTGATAACATTAGCTGATTGTAGAAAGTTGTTTGGTGAATTAGTTGTTAGCTAATAGTTGTTTGGTATAATTTCTTTTCTCAAAAAGTTAATTGAAAAAGTTATTTTGAGCAGCTTTTTAAATTTTAGCATTTTGAGGTTACAAAAAGCTAATTAACCAAAAACTTGTATTGATTTTTTTAACCAAATTAAACAATTAATAGTAGTCAAATAAGCCAAAATTGACTGATAGACTAACTATTTTACCAAATAGGACCTAATTATGTATGTATAAATATCATCTCTTTACTTCATGCATTTTTGTGAAAGAAGTTCAATATTTTGTTGGCTAACATTATGGTCTACCCAATTCTCTAATGAGGTTTGTTATTAAAGTTTAAATTATAGTGTGTCAATTTTTATACTGTGTTAAAAAAAAAAATCATCATCTTTATTTAAATTCGTGACAAGTAAAACACACCGTTATTATCTAAATTCTCAAAGTATATATTAAATAAACTTCTTAATTTTGGGTATATTATATTTAATTTGCGGAGTGAGATATATTCATGCACCATACTTAACTCATTAACTACGTTGCCGCAATCCTGGCGGCAGGTGGGGGATATGCTTGGGACAACAAATCCATATATTTCATCTCCACATTGATCTTGCCCTTTATGAATTTCTAGATTTGTTTATACATATGTATTATATTGTTTAAAAATAATTATATATTTAGAAATAGCTAATTCTAGACCTCCTCAAAAAGACTATTTTTCTTATCATGGGAATAACTTATTTTCAAAAATACAAAGCCCAATTAAATAAAGGAATACATTCATTTTATTATTAATCTATTTCATAAACCCAACATATATGTCACCAAAATAAAAATCAAAGAACCAGGGAAAAAAACAAAATTATGCAGTATATCAAATTATTATTTTTATTTGATACGACAAATAAATAAATTATACGCTCTCCGTTAACATTTAATCTTGTGTTAATATATAAAATTTATATATTTAAAAATTATACTGAAAATATTATTAAACACAAAAAAAAAAATTAAAAATGTATTAAAAAAAAACGAAACATAAAAATTTGATTTGATTAATGAATAGCAAAAACAATACATAAAATGAGACCAAAAAAAAAAAAAAAAACAATCATATTTAAATATTGACTTTGTAATCACAATATTCAAAGTTCAACTACCAGTTGATGTGGTAAACACGCTAGTGTATACAAGTACCCAGTACGCTAATGTATGTAGGTATGCAGGCTCAGAGATTCCCGAGCTTATGTAGATTCCTCATGAGAAAGTTCCAAAAGTCCTCCCTCAAGGCATTTAATGTGCCTTATATCTTACTGGGGGAGCACATGCCGGGAGCTCGGCATGCATGTTAACCACGTGTCTCACATGCACAAGTGTGGCCGAAGGCGCTCTCAATAGATCTGTGTGCCTGGAGATTCCTGATTTTTGTGCTATCACAAGGTGATCAGGTAAAGTGATATCATGGAGTTTGTCCTTTGATGCTGGGAACACCGTATGTAGTTGGTAAACTCGACCCGAGCATGTGGGCTAGGAAATTAGTTCTGACCGTAGGACAAAAGCATAGCAACAACCAACTCAGAGGGGCAAGCATATAAACATACTCGGGTCGGGTTTTATCCTAATGGGGTCAGGCCAGCTCGGGAAACGACCTATGACATACATACTAAACATGTCTATGGACGTACGGGTGAGAGATATACCCTATCACCAGCAAAAGTTTCTAAGTTTAAATCAATCAGCTACGAACAAACTAAGTTAATTAGTTTATCGCTTTAGAATCATTTATTGACTAAAGTTACAAGATAATATTACATAGTGCATACATCAGTCATTCAAATAGTAGTTGAGAGAAAGGTAATAGTTGCGAATTTCTCTCGTCACAAAAATAAAAATAAAAATACAATGATTAAAACTCTAACAACATATGTGTCAAACGTAAACCAAAGTGCAGTGGCAAGACATGCACAATTGCACATGCAAATGTATCCGATATGACATGAACCTTCTTTCCCAACCCCACATCCTTAAAGATATTAGGTGAAAACGTTGACAATCACGACATTAGCTAGACATAATATAATTGAACCAAGATATATAGATGCATCACATCCTCAGCTCCATCTATCCTGCGATGATATGCAAACCCCGCTTTTCTCTTCTCTGGGTTTTGATGTTTTATGCTATTATTGGAGCTACAGTTGCAGCACGTGTCATACTGTGCCATCAACATAATGATTAGACGTGACGTTAATCCACCGTCATCTACTTGTCTTCAAGCATTTGTTGTTCGAATATTGCCCACAAAAAGCTCAATCAAAATCCCACTCACAAGTCACAAGGGACCAAAACTCTTCCACCTCTTCTATCAAATTTCCATTTCCCCACAACGTTATCATCACGTGTGGTCAATTGTGTCTACAGGGATAGTTTTGATAGTGTCAATTCATATCAAGAAAGTAGTAGATCAGATCATCAAAGGTTAAAAAGAGTTACCTTGATGCCGTGAAAATCTGGGATTTCTTCGCCATATTTGTGGTGTTTGATTGAATCTGCTGAAACCCGACAGTTAAAACTAGGTAATAGGATGATTGGATGAATGACAGGAACAATCATCGACAGCTTCTCGTTTTTAAGGAAGAAACAAAATGCAGGAGAAAAAGGAATTGCAGATTTGCAGGCATGCATATGATCATATATGGACAAATGCATAATAGTGTACTCTATTTGGACTACTATACCCCTCCCTAATCTCGTTTTCAAAGAGAATACATCACTCAAGTCAAGCTGGGGCACTAGAATAATGGATCTATTAAGCACAGATGTACAGAACCTACTGAAAACACCTCTTCTGGGGCCTAGCTACCTATCAAGATTCGGTTCATATCCACAAAAGGAACAAGCACGAGATTCACTATCACAACCATATCTCTGAAAACGGGCAGACGGGCAAGATAGGTAAACTGTATTTCAAGTGTTAATTTAAAGCAGGAATACGAACTTACTTCGTGAAATTTGGGTAAACCAGGAGTCTGAAACTTCATCGACTTTCTTCACCCCTTCAACCATAAAACAGCGGGTGATCCTATCCAAAGAAGGAAACTTGAAGTGAATATATATCCATTCATTCCTCAAAATAAACAGTATTTAATCTGTTTAAGAACAAAGGTACCGTATAACAGGTAAAAGGAGCGGTGAAGCATATACAGCAGGATCGAAGATGAGAACAGACCAGTCATCATTAACAAAGTGGCACAAGAATGCAGCACGGGGAAGCTTCCGGTCACTCCTGTTAACAGTTATGCAGAGCCATAGCTATTCGGATTATACTGAAATAAAATTACCTTTAGCATTTATTTATTTTTCCCACTTCACCATCAAAATAGAGGAAGCCCAGAATTTATAGCACGGCTTCTATTGATTGACCTCGAACAAGCAACATAAGGATGATACAACTGAAATTGCAAGAGACCTATCTTCGCTCTAAAGTTACATCCACACACGGATGAACTCTAAGATCACTTTCACACAACAGGATTGGGTAGTGAAGCTATAAATGTTATTGTATTTATGGAAATGAACAATGTTTTGAACATTTGAATATAGTAAAGATGACAACTTTTACGGCTAGAGGGAAAAAAATGTTAAACTCGAGTAATAGACAAGAACACATGCATGTGAAGGAAACTAAATGTCCACATCAGTACGTTAAAATTCATCTTTTTTGTCATATTTGTTCTTTACATAAATCATCAACAAAGATTAGAGATGGTATACAAACATTTCTACTCATACACATCTGGTATCAACTCATAGAAAACTACCAGACCTAAACTCACCGAGCTTTCCTGTGGGACTTGTATGCGAAGCGAGAGGGAGGCGATGGAGAAAGTTCAACTGGGAGTTCGGGAGGTTCTAACTCCCCCGAAAGCACCCCGACTACTTCTTTCATTGATGGGCGACGGGCGGGAGACTTCTGCAGACAGAGCAGAGCCACCTTGATGCATAGCAAGGCTTGTTCTTTATTCAGTGACTCGATTGACTGATCAACGAGATCGAGAAGCTTTCCCACTCGGGCAAGGTGACGTGCCCAAGAAAGAAGATTGGCACGTTGGAATTCGGACATTGGTGAGCCTGTTACCTGAAGTGGTCGGCGCCCAGCAATGAGAACTAACAATAGTACTCCATAGCTATAAACATCACACTTTTCGGATAGATCCCCGGTAATACCATATTCTGGGGCAGCATAACACACGGTGCCTCTCATACTAGGTGTGCTACTGATGCCGCCACTCTTGGGTATATCACCGCTAGCAGAATCGTAGCTATTTCTTCGAGCTTTCCATAGGTCACCGCTAATCCCATCCAACCACCAATCCATGCTACTCTTGCTACTCCTACTCCTACTCCTTTTCTTTTTCCTATCACCATACATTTCGTCGTCCCTTGGCCAGTATTCGCTCTGACAATCATCACTTGCAGAGCTTTGCCCTTGTTGTTTCTTCTTCTTTTTCTTCCTCTGAAGCTCCTCACAGTACTCCTCCTTCCACCATTCTCTAGCTGGTCTCCTCTTCTCCATTTTCGCAGTTTTTTCATCGTCCAACGAAACCCACCAATCTAACCGCTTTCTATGTTTCTTCTTTTCTGTTTTGGCAGTCGCCCCAGTACTCGACGAAGGCTGCCCTATCCACTCACTCCTTGGCCTCTCCTTCTTGATCTCATTTCCAATCCATTCCATTACATAATCCTTCACCGGCCCCGACTCTCCCCCGCCAGTATCTTGTTTCCACCACCAATCATTCCTGGAAACACTCTTCTTCTTCATCATCATCCTGCCCTTCTTATCACTCATCTCTTTACTGCTCTCCACACTAAACCTATCAAAATTTGCATCCGAAACACTCGTCTTTTCTAATCCCTCGGATGGGGATGCCATGGCCGCCACTGTCCTTGGAGAAACCACAGGCGCCTCTGGAGACAAATCCACACCCATCCCAGTCTCAGGAGAGGCCTGAATCTGAACAAAGCTTTCTGGGGATTGCTCCAATCCTCCATGAAACTCTTCAAACCCATTGGCCGTGATCACACTCTCCGTTTCCTCAATCACTGACCCATTATCCTCCACCCCGTTCCCTAAAGAACCCTCCTTTCTCACCTCAATTTCAACATGATCCTCTGTTTTCAACCTGGCCAAACCAAAATCCCCGATTTTGGCATTAAAATTAGCATCTAACAGTATATTACTGGGCTTAATATCACCGTGGATCACCGAAGGATCACAAGAATGATGCAAATGTTCAAGCCCTTTAGCTATATCAAGAGCAATTGAAAACCTATTTTTCCATATCTTTAATTCGCTACACTTACGATGCAAAAGACAGTCTTGCAAGCTCCCGTTGGCCATGAGCTCGTAGACTAGCAGCATCCGGCGGCCCCGCTGATCGGAGGAGAAGCCGATGATGGAGACGATGTACTTGGAGTCAATTTTTCCGGCGTAGAGTAGCTCGTTCTGGAACTCTCGCTCGCCTTGGAGAGAACCCGAATCCATGACCTTGACGGCGATAGCCACATCGGATTGGGAACCGGATATCTTGAGAGCGCCGCTATAGACCGACCCGAACCCGCCTTGCCCGAGGCGGAGAGAGGGGTTAAAGTTAGAGGTGGCGCGGCGCAGGGCGGCGTACGAGAATCGGTGGGGCGGCTTTGACTCTGTATCTGGCGAAGGGACCGTCCGCTTGCGGGAAATCTTCCGGAAGCAGAAAGTGAAAATGAGGAGGATGGAAGCGGCGGCTGCTATCCCTCCGGCAAGCGGCGCCACCAGGCTGTGGGTCTGAGCGTGGGCCGCCGCCGCCGCCAGCGGCGGCGGCGAAGAAGGTAAATCACGTGAGGGCATGGCGATAATCAAATTATTGGGACTAACAAAAGACAACGAAGCATCAGTGGCTGTATAACTTAAAGATTATTACTTCTTCCAATGCTGTTATTGCGGACGGTGGAGTTGTACTCTTACACTGGTGGGTGGGTGGGGTGGGGGTCTGCTCCTGCTTCTCTTTCAAGCCGTTGAGCTTTTTTTTTTTTTTTTTTTTTTTTTTTTTTTTAATATTCAGATATGTATTATTGTTCAGATATATTAACCTCGGGCCCGACAAAATATTTGGGATGATATAAATCATGATAACTTAGTTAAATATAAAGATTAAATATATACTTACTGCGCACGAAGAGTTCTCTATGATTAATAAGACTCGATTCAGGATTATTATTGTTCTAAATTTCACCCCTATAACCACTGAGTTATCCATACGATTAGATATATATTATATTGACCGGGTGTGCCACTATTTTTTTTTTTTTTCCTTCCATTTGTTCTTATTTTACTCCATTCATGTGTATTGCTACTTGAGGTCCTTTTCAGTCAAAGACACCGGGCTCATATTAATTTCTATTTAATATTTTTTTATAATCCAAGTTTCTAAATTTCTCTTTTTATATCTTGAATATCATGAATTCACTCTAAACCGAGAAGGTAATTGAACCGAATTAATATTGAGACTCAACATAAAATTATACATTAGTGCGCACAAGAAGTCTATCATGTTGTTGTTAAAATTAAAGTCAATTTTGAAATGCACCCTACCCATTGAAGCAAATCTTAAATGAGGTTTCTCATCTACTAGACCAATGTTCTAACACTATAAATTCCGCCTAACATAATATATTTTAATTCTCGACGGTTAAATTAATTTTTTTCTTAATTTAAGAATGAGTTCAACATAACATGTTAAGTCAAAAGATTTTTATCTCGTTAATAATTTATCGAACATGCTATGTTATTCGTGAACTAATTCAAAATTATTAGGACTCTATGTATATGAGTCTGTTTAGAACTTCTTATCCTTGTCACACTGTGACTCTCTACTTCTTATCATTGTCACACTGTGACTCTCTATTCTATATATTCACATCATATGATCTCATTGTAATTAAAGTTCAGAAAATATAATACAATCAGTTCTCATCTGGTATCAGTTAGCTAGGGTTTTGTGATTCATAAAATTAAGAAGATGCAGCGCTGCGATGGCAACCTTAATTACCGTGGAGGTCAGCAACGTGGCTTCGATGATCCGTGTCAAATCTGTAAAGGTTTCGGCCACACAGGAGTCAATTGTTTTTGGCGCTATGATGATCCGTGTCAAATTTGTAAACGTTTTGGTCACACAGGAGCCAATTGTTTTTGGCGCTATAATAATCCGTGTCAAATTTGCAAAAGTTTCGGTCACACGGGAGTCAACTGTTTTCGGCGATATTCAGGGGCTCCGGGTTCTCAGGCTAATTTGGTGTTTCAGAATGGTTTAGTTGCTAAAACCTCGTCAAATTCTCATACTTGGGTTCCGGACACTGGAGCCACAAATCATGCAACTCCGTACATCGCTGCCCTTTCTACATCGGAGAAGTACACTGGTAATGACACTTTACGTGTCGGTGACGGTATGGGTTTATCTATTAGTCATGTTGGCCATGCCTCTTTTAATACCCCTTCTAGATCATTTACATTGTCTGATATACTTCACGTTCCGCGTTTGTCTAATTCTTTATTATCTGTTCAGAAATTTGCATCCGATAATAAAGTCTTTTTTGAGTTTCACCCCTCCTTTTTTGTTGTAAAAGATATCAATACCAAGGAAATACTTCTTCGGGGCAATAGTTCGGGGGGACTATACACACTTTCATTACCTAGTTCGTCTCCGTCAGTGTTTATTTTCGCTCGTGCCTCAGCTTCCACTTGGCACAATCGTCTAGGTCATCCTCATAACCGTGTTCTTAGCCATATACTTCGTTCTTGTTTGGTTAGTGGGTCTCGTGATAATATTCGTTGTCATAATTCTTTATGCAATGCGTGTCAATTAGGCAAATCTGCCCGTTTTCCCCTCCCCCGTGTTGCTTCCTCTAGTTCTCAAGTCCTAGATCTTATTTACACAGACATTTGGGGTCCTGCGCCCACTTTATCTACTTCTGGCTTCCGTTATTTTGTGATGTTTGTGGATGACTATTCCCGTTATACATGGTTCTTTCCTATGAAATTAAAGTCTGATCTTTATGTCATCTTTGATAAATTTCGTACTCTTGTTGAACGGTCTTTTAATTGCAAAATAAAGGCCATTCAGTCTGATTTAGGTGCTGAGTACAAAAAGTTGCATTCTTTGTTTGTTCAATTAGGAATTCAACATAGACAATCCTGTGCCTATACACATGAACAAAATGGTCGTGTTGAACGAAAACATCGTCACATTGTTGAAACTGGTCTGGCTCTTCTAGCTCATGCCTCTGTTCCTTTAAAATTTTGGGATTTTGCCTTTGAGACTGCTAGGTCTATTTAATTTAACAGAATGCCATCTTCTGTATTAAATAACTCCAGTCCTCATCTCCTGTTACATAAATCCCCTCATTCCTATCTTTTTCTTCGTGTCTTTGGGTGTTTATGCTACCCTCATCTTCGACCATATAATCGTCATAAAATGTCATACAGGTCTTCTCCATGTGTCTTCCTAGGTTATCCTGAGTCCTTTAGGGGGTACAGATGCATGGACTTACATACTAATAAGATTTACACATGCAGGCATGTTAGATTTGATGAAGAAGTTTTGCCCTTTGCTACTAAAACTTCTTTGCAGGATCTATCTACTCCGTTTTCTGGACCTTGGGCGGAATCTGTTCTCAGTCACAGCACACCTATTCCTGCCGTGTCCAATGATGAGCTGCCAGAACCGCCGCCACCTGCTTCATTCGAACCAGCCGTGGATCCTGGACAGGCTGCCTCGTCGGGTGATCCTGTAGAGCCTGTTGCTCGCCGGCGAGGCCGTCCACGTGGGCGGTCCATCAGGCCCAATGTCCGTACTCAGTCTATGGCCACTCGCAGCAACGCAGATGCTCCTCTTTTTGCTCTAGCAGCTCAAGTGCATCCCACGGAACCCACATGTTACTCTCAAGCTGTCAAATATCCTGAGTGGCGTGAAGCCATGGACCAAGAATTCAATGCTCTCCTGACTCCTGCATAACCACACATGGTCTCTAGTTCCACCCACTGCAGGTATGAATATTATTGGCTGTAAATGGGTGTTTCGTACGAAGAGAAAGGCTGATGGTGCTATTGAAAGGCATAAAGCCAGGCTGGTTGCGAAAGGTTTTAATCAGGTTCCAGGTCAGGACTTCTTCGACACTTTTAGTCCAGTGGTAAAGCCTACGACTGTAAGACTCCTTCTATCTCTAGCTTTATCATCTGGGTGGTCTATCAAACAGCTAGATGTTCATAATGCTTTTCTGAATGGTAATTTGGCTGAAACAGTTTATATGAAGCAACCCCCTGATTATATTGATGCTAACTTCCCGAATCATGTTTGTTTGTTAAAAAGATCTCTGTATGGGTTAAAACAAGCTCCCAGAGCTTGGTTTAATCGACTACATACGTTCTTATTATCGGTTGGCTTTCAAGCATCCAAGACAAATGTCTCTCTGTTCTATTACTCTAAAGACTCTGCTTTGGTTTATCTATTGGTGTACGTGGATGACATTCTTGTAATGGGAAGTGATCAAGGTATTATGTCTCAGCTCTTGTCCAAACTGTCTGCTACATTCAAAATCAGAGATCTTGGTGAACCAAATTTTTTTCTGGGTATTGAAACAGTTAAGAGTGACAATGGGATTATTTTATCTCAACAACGGTATATGAATGATATTTTAAAACGGGCTGGAATGTCTGAATGCAAACCACTTTCTACACCTATCTCTGTCTCGAAAACTGTCCCCTTCAATTCAGATCTATATGATGATCCCACACAGTACAGGAGTCTAGCTGGAGCACTGCAATATCTCACTGTCACACGACCTGACCTATCCTTTGCAGTTAATCAGTTATGCCAGCATATGCATGCCCCCACCATATCACACTGGGAGCAGCTCAAACGGGTACTCAGGTATGTTAAGGGAACAGTTGATCATGGTTTACGCATACGACGGTGTTCATCTAGAGACATTCATGCTTTCTCTGATTCTGATTGGGCTGGTTGTCCTAACGATCGAAAATCCACGAGTGGTTTTGCTGTTTTCTTGGGGAGCAATCTTATATCATGGGTTTGCAAGAAACAGAGAACTGTTGCCAGGTCATCCACTGAGGCTGAATACAAAGCTCTTGCAGATGTTTGTGCTGAAGTTCTATGGATTATGTCATTATTGCGTGAGATACAGATTCCGGAAATTTCCATTCCAAAATTATGGTGTGATAATCTAGGAGCTACATATATGAGTGCCAATCCAATCTTTCATGCGCGCACCAAGCATGTGGAGATTGATTATCATTTTGTTCGTGATCGAGTAGCTTCGGGCGATATCCAAGTCAACTTCATCTCCACAAAGGATCAACTTGCTGATATCTTCACCAAAGCTCTGCCTGGACCTAGATTTTCTTCCTTAAGGGACAAGCTACAGGTTACTAGTATACACTGTGCTTGAGGGGGAGTATTAGGACTCTATGTATATGAGTCTGTTTAGAACTTCTTATCCTTGTCACACTGTGACTCTCTACTTCTTATCATTGTCACACTGTGACTCTCTATTCTATATATTCACATCATCTGATCTCATTGTAATTAAGGGTTCAGAAAATATAATACAATCAGTTCTCATCAAAATAACATGTTATATCAAACGATTTCTCCATCCAACATGTCATATATGTTGAATTTGTAGTTGTGGAAAAACATGGAATGAGCAGCATATATGCAGATCAGAACAAAAAAGGTAGACAACTTGTGTCAAAACAAAAGAATAATGGGAATAGTTGAAGACTGGGCGTGTTCTTATAATTATTTCTGCTAAAAACGAATAACGCTTTTGTATTTTAGTGTTGTGACTGATTGATAACGACACAGGTTTCCACTGACTTAATTGGTCATTTTAAAAGAAATTGTATTACTAAAAACATCATATTTTAAAGAAATTACTATATAAATTAAGTAAATTAAAGAATAACGCAGGGAAATAGAGATCAAATGCAACAAACCATGGAAGCTGGTGTATTATAAGTAAATCAATCGACTTCATGTTTGTTAACTAATTCAAGTCTTTCAACTTTGGTAACGAGTTACAACGGTTAGTTCTCAGCCTCTAAATTAGTAAAATTATTGAAACGTAATATATGCATTAAATGAGGTATTTTTTTAAGTACACCCAACTGAAGATCGAACTCATGATCTTCTATTTAAAAGAGTCATTTTGTATCATTGGACCATAAGATCATTCCTAGCTATCTAATTGTTTAAATGATAATGTGTAAACATTTGTATATATGTGAAGATTGGGTCAAATATATTATCCCACCAAATTGACGTCAATTCATTAAACTCTATTGATTCCATTTTGTTGACATTAGAAATTAAACTTAAAATAAAGGAAAGCCCAAAGTGGGTTGACTAGAATTGGATGCCTTGGATCCTTCCAAGTCTTTAACAACTTTTTCATTAGTGTGGCTCTTTTTCTTTTTCCTTTCTCCTTTTTTTTTTTGGTTGTTGTACTATAAAAGCATATTTAGGGATGTGAAAGAACATCAATTGGTTAAAGAGAGATAGAATTGATTATAAGAAAATATGTTTTACTCATAATCTTTTGTACGTCTTCTAATATGACTTATAATCATTCGTTGTTTATAAATTAATTGATTCTATCAATTTATAGTGTCATATGACAAGAAGTAAAAATTTAAAGAGATGAATTATATTACTCTCTTAATAATATGATATAACTATGATGTGGTATTTCATAAATATTTAATCTTTTTTTATGGTAAAAAAGTGGATGATGGATCCACAAAGAAGAGAGCAAAGGTAGAATAAGTTAAAGGTGATAATGAAGTGGGCATCATGGGCGCGCCTCAATTTCCTAACCCTCTCTTTTCACTATTTTCCAAAATGATATCCCAAAAGTTGGAAGGATGCATGCCTATGTTGATTTTGATTGCCATCCAGTCCTAGGTATTCAACAAAATGTGTTTCTTCTTTCTCTCTTTTCTTTTTCTTTTTTTGGAGAACAAAATCATGGGTGTAATGATGAAGCTAGGGGCAAAAGAGGAAAATAAACGGAAGTTATTTGTTCAACTTCTAGAATGAAGAGGGATTAACATTAACAAGTAAGATGTAACGTAATTGTCGGCATAAATAATAAACTTTGCACACGTATTAAGACTTATACTATAAGAAAAAATCGCTATTTTGACCCACCTTTTATTAAGGAATAAAGGTCAAATAGATCATCCAACTACACACAAAAATATTGAGTGGCTTGTGGTCCACTGGTATTAGATTGCTCTCCTATGTGAGAGGTTTAGGTTTTGAGCCTTGTTGTACGCATAGTTTGTATGAGTATCCATTCTTTTGTAAAAAAAAAAAAAAAAAACAACACACAAAAATGCAATTAGGTCATCGAACTCAAAAAAACTATAACTAAGTCCCTGAACTACGCAAATTAATGCGATTTCACCAAAAATGACTTGTTTACCTGTTGTGCCGGTTTCAGAATTAAAAATAATTTTTAAACTTTTGTTTTAATAATTTTAAATAATAAATTATTTTAAATTTTTTTTAAAAAAAAAAACAATTCGCCGGAGGCTTCGTCTCCGGTCAGCCATGGAGAACCCTTCGTCTCCATGGCTGGCCAGAGACGAAGGGGTCCCCTTCGTCTCCGTGGCTGGATGAAAACGAAGGGGATCCGGCATATTGTTTTTTTTTTTTAATTTTAAAATAATTTATTATTTAAAATTATTAAAATAAAAGTTAAAAAATTATTTTTTTAATTTGATAACCGACACGTCAACGTATCAATAGGTAAACAAGTCATTTTTTATGAAATTGTATGAATTTGTGTAGTTTAAGGACCTAATTGTAGATTTTTTGAGTTGGGTGGCCTAATTGCATGTTGGTGTGCAGTTGGATGACCTATTTGAACCTTATGCCTTTTATTAATTACACATAACATACTAACTTCGGTATAAGTTCATGTAGTGCGAATGATGAAAGAAGAATAATTTTACATGTGATAGGGTCATGGGATCTCGATGTCCATTTTATTGAAAAAGTCTTAGTCCAAGTGAGTGATGAATGAAGGAGGTTAATTGGCTTAGTTTTGATGGGCTAAGGGAACAAGCATGCATGGTTGCCAAAAAAGCACAAAGGAAGAGAAAGAAGAAGTTGTTGGGAGTAGAACCACTAGCGGGGCGATGCAGGTCCTGTCGAACCTAGGACCTCTACCATGGCACACGCGTTTTAACCCACTAGGCCGCTCTATCTCTCATATATTGAAGCACTATGGCTTATATTTATTCTAACATTTGCGAGTTAATAGATTGGTAGACCTGCCACGGTGGGTTGAAAATTCCACTATTTTTAATTTATTATTGTAATATAAAGCTGTGTTTATTTTTAAAAGTGAGAGAGTATTACAAGAATATAAAAAAAAAATTAAATAATTTCAAATTTGATGATATGGATGTAAAATTCATTTTTAAAAAAGTGAAATACACTTGTAAAGGTAAGGATATGCGGGTAGCCTTATTGAGAGCAACTCATGCTTAATAAATGAGTTGGTGGTCTGGGGTCGTGGGGAGTGGGGGGCCTTGCTTTCCGCCTTTTCAGCTTGGATTACGCCAGAAGAAAGTGTGGATTACTCATTTCCATTTGGAACTAATTCGAATCATTAAAGACACGTGGGTGGTATTGTTGATAATAAGCAAACCAACGAAAGCCCGATGGACCACGTGCTCAACCATACAATCATTTTCAACACCAGCCCAAAACATATTTGGGGTATTTGGCAAATACTCCGTAGTTGTTAGCTGATATCTTATAGCAAATTAACTTAGCTAATTCAGAGTAGTTATTACAGCTCGTTTGGTTCGCTGAAAAATATTTTAAGGGAAATGGAATTAGAATTTCATGGAAAATAAATTCCAAGAAAACAGATTCCATTGTTTGGTTGGTGGAAAAGAAATTAGTGGGAATATGAATTCCATTGTTTGGTTGAGTTTGAAATGGTAAGGAATAATGAGTATAATGACAAATATAACCCTACACAACAATAATAGTATAATAATAATAAGAGTAATTAATAAAGAATGGTGAAGGTAAAATGTTATATTAGTTTTCAATGGAAAAGGTTTTCCATGGAAAACAAAATACCTAGCATAAGCTAGGAATTTGTTTTCCTTGTTCTTAAGGAAAATTTTTTCCAATGGAAAATGTTTTCCATCCAACCAAACAACATAAAACATCATTTTCCTTCACTTTTAGGAAAACATTTTCCATGGAAAATGTTTTCCATCCAACCAAACACCCCCTTAGTGGGTTAGCAAGTTTGATTAGCAGATAGTAGTAGCTGATTGTAGAAAAATGTTTAGTAAATTAACTAAAGTAATTACATGCAAAATGTATTTTAAATGTACGAGTGTATTATATTATTTTAGAAAAATGGTCAAATAAGCCCCTAAATTTTACACCAAAAGTCAATTAGACACCTAAACTTTATAAAAGTACAGTTAAACCCTCAAATATGTTAAATTAAGTCAATAAAGCCCCTAAACTGATAAATGACATGTTATTACAAGTCATTTTAATCCGGCAAAAAAATTCAGCAACCGGCACCACGACTAGTCACCATCTATGGCGGAAGGCGACCACTAAAGGTTGCGGGTCGCCTTCCGCCGATCGTCAAAAATAAAATGACATGTTATTACAGGTACTTTTGGTGTAAAGTTTAGAGATCTATTTGATCATTTTTCTATTATTTTAATCTATAATACTAATAATAATAATAATATTATTATTATTATAGAATATATATATATATATATATATATATATATATATATATATATATATATATAACATATGATCACGGGTTTAAGTGCCCGTGAACACTAATCAGTAATCACATGTCCCGTTACTAAATACTGTCATGGTACTAGGCAACGGGCTTATGAGCTTTGTCAACGGGCTCAAGCACCCTGTTGCTAGTACCGTGAAGAGACAATGAGAGTAACATTGCTTTGTTGACAAGCTCAACCCGTCACCGTCTCTTTTTTTAAAAAAAATAAAAATTATTAGGGATATTTTAGAGAAAATAATTTATTTTTTCAAAAAACTAACAAAAAAAATTGCAGCTATCTTTTTAAATTTTAGTATTTGAAACAATAAGTTACTACCAAAAAAAAAAATTAACCAAAAACTCATATTAACTATTTGACCAAGTCAAACAACTAATAACAGTCAAATAAAACAAAATTAGTTGATAAGCTATTTTACCTGACAGGTTCATTAGACCGTCTAGAAATAAAAGGCTTTGCTCAATGTAACTTGTAATACCAAATAGTCAGTGCTGGCATCTTTTTTTTTTTTTTGAAAGGGTCAGTGCTGGACTGCTGGCATCTATATTAAGTTTCTCAGAGAAACAACAATGACTATAACATATGTTTGCGTGCGTGCGTGCGTGCCATGTATTCCACAACTGAGTGTACAGAAGGCCATTCTATACAAGGAAACAATGTAGTGTACTAAATCACAGGTAAATAGTTACCAGAACCATTGGCTTCTTGCATCCACAGCCTTTAAGTTTGTTGAGACCAGAGGCATAGTTCCATACAGCGAAATGGAATCTTTGAGACATTTATTTCTCTTGTCGTTGTACCCTTTAAGACTGCTTATCTCACTCGAGCCAATCTCGTATATCTTCCCTGACAAAGATTATGGAAATTGGTTCAGATTTCTTGGCAATACAACTAGATAGATTCGTGAAAGTTAGGAATATGGGTCTGGTAAAAATGCCAGAAAAAGGATAACTTATAAATTTCTTGAACTTCGCCTTTGGTGAGTGCCAGAAAATGTATAACATTAGTGTGTCAAAAGTTTCTCTAGCAAAAAGGGTGATGCATTTAACAGAAGTCTTAACATGGCATTTGGTGGCTGAAAAATGTTTTGATCATAAACCCCACATTGTGGATAAGTTCTTGGTGACAAGGTAGGATTACAAATGTCCATATTTTGCCATGAATGTACCTATCTTTTAGTATGGATCCAACATTTAAACCACATCTGAAGAAGGAAACAAATGGAGTGAGTGCATGATACCTTTGACCCAAATTGGAGGAGCACTAGTGGTGTTTGCAACAAGCAGAGACATTGCAATGTCCTCACAATTCCTACAAGAGAAATGAAAATCATTCCAGCATCTACTCACTGATGAAGTTTGAATTTGCAAGCAAAACAGTAGTGCTTCAAAGCATAAGGCATACCTCTCCGTGGTTACATAATCATGAATTGATGTGGGCATTTGGGAAGCATACAAGTCCAAGTATTTTCTGCGGAAAAATGCTGCTTTTGAGAGAACCATACTGTAAGTACCCATCCACCAAACTGACCACCATCCTCCATATTTATAATATATGGCACACTATTTTCGTGCTGCAAAAAGTAGGTGTTGAAACACCCAAAGTAAGTAGGTTCAACTGAGCAAAGGGAAATTTTATATAGGGTGATAGAACACATGGAAATGAAGGTTGTTGAAATTGAGGGATTGATAGGTCTGGCAGGTGGAGAATAACCACCACCCGCCAGTTAGGCGGAAGCAAAATATGTGATAACTAAAGAACAAGAGAATATAGAGAATATATTATAATGAAAGAGTACAATAGATTGTCTCTCTTAATGTCTGTTCTATACTTCTATGGACCTCTATATATACTAAACTAGATACTAAATTAGTCCTAATAGGAATAGGAAACTACTAATAAAAATAGGAAACTAAGACAACTTTCCTATTATTCAACATTCCCCCTCAAGCTGGAACATTTGGAAGTTCCAAGCTTGGATTAAAATAAGCACTCTACCTCACTCAAAATTACAAGTGAAAATAAATGCAACTAGAGGATAACAATGCGAGATGGCTTCGGAGGGACAATGCAACCCTTGGGAATGAACACACCAGGGGCAAAGCTTGTCACGAACATCCTTGGGAATGGAGGCACCAAGGGAAAACACGAACACCATCACAACAATATAAGCACTCGAGGATGGATGACTTCAAAAGAGATTGCGCTATGTCTGACCCTTCCTTGGGAATGAAGACGAAGGCACCAAGAACGGAGCTGAACACAATCCTTGGGAATAAAGACGAAGACACCAAGGACCCTTGGGAATAAAGACGAAGACACCAAGGACGAAGCTAAACACAATCTTGGGAATGAACACACCGAGGACAGAATTGAACATGAACCTCGGGAATGAAGATGAACACACCAAGGATAGAGTTAAACATGAACAACCTCCCGATAACACAAGAGAGCGGTAGAGGCAGAAAGGGAGCAAAGAATAGCAAAGGGAGCCCATAGTAGATAAAATAGCAAATAATAGTAAATGATAGCACACCAACTGTAGATAGTCACACTCCCCCTTACTTGAAACATGGGAAATAATCAAAGGCCTTTATAGTAGTGCTGAAACTGACCATCCATGGGATAAGGCATACCGGAGATAAAGAAACAAACACGGTTATACCAAAACACAAACACCATGGGAAAATGTTCGGCAACAAACCCAAAGAAGACTTCAAATTTCACCAAAAAGTTGAAAGAAGGGCAAAACAACCATCTGAAAAATCTCGCCGGAGGCAGACTCACGCGCCGGCGCGTGACGGCGGCGGTGGCGCGTGAGGACGACGGCGGTGGAGGAAAGCGATGAAATTTTCCAGATAAGGTCGCAAGAGGGAGAGGAATCCATTGGTGTAGGAGGTGAGATCACAAAATCACTGGAGAAGAGGAGATCTGGCCGGAAAAGCGAAAGCACTCCCGACGACGGTGGTGGCGCGTGTGGGCGCGTGCGACGGTGAATGGCGACCGGATTTCAAGCGACGGCTCGCGACAAGGTTCCGAGTAAGGCTGTGGTGTTAGTTGCTTTGAACAACAACTAGAAGTGCGTCGGAACGAGAGAAAACAGTGGCGGCAGTGGTTACCCTCCGGTGGAGGCAGCGGCGGCGGAAAGCTAGGGTTTATATTAGGGTTTTAATATTTGAAGAAAAACAACCTAGGAAAATAGGCTCTGATACCATGTTGAAATTGAGGGATTGATAGGTCTGGCGGGTGGAGAATAACCACCACCCGCCAGTTAGGCGGAAGCAAAATATGTGATAACCAAAGAACAAGAGAATATAGAGAATATATTATAATGAAAGAGTACAATAAATTGTCTCTCTTAATGTCTATTCTATACTTCTATGGACCTCTATATATACTAAACTAGATATTAAATTAGTCCTAATAGGAATAGGAAACTACTAATAAGAATAGGAAACTAAGACAACTTTCCTATTATTCAACAAAGGTGGAATGAAGCAACAAATATACATAGGCTTACTGTTAGGCAACTACTTAGCAATTCTTCTATTGAAAGTGTATTTACAAACACCCAAGGGAAACTCTTTGCAAGAGTATTTACTCACCTCCTCGACTAGCCAATGCATATGAGGAACAAATCCGACCATTGTGAGTGGAGCAGTCTGCCATACACTAAATGCAAAATCCAGTGTATGGCATGGAACTATTGCATCATCATCAACCGAGAATATTGATCTGTTCTAAGATCTTCTATTGACTTGAACCTGTTGTTTAGGTCATCTTCTTCATTTATGTCAAATCTCAAATTGGGTTTGTCAGCAGTCTGACCTTCTTGGTACTATATGCTTAAGATAAGTTTTCAAACCTTCAGATGGTAGATTACTTTCACTCCACACATTGCATCAGTCCCCTTGCAAGATGCATACTGATTACTGAGCAACTGCTTGCTTAATTAAGTAATGAATTTCTCTTCCATGTGTTGATAAGCACCGTGTACCCACCCCTGGAAAACAAAGTAAAATAAACTCAATTGTCTCTGTTCATGTTAATAATGAAATGCCTAATGTGAGTTTAATTTGCAATTATCATAACTCAAAACTAACATGGAATAGTGAAGATTATGTTTCAAGCATGAAAAATACAACGATATTTTAAAGTAAATGGGAGAAAACTTCTTGATCTTATGCTGAGAGAGTGGAGGTTGATTCTGCAACCGTAGCTAGTAACTTAGCATGACATAAGGCTTTGAAGCCATTGCCAAGCAACTCGAGCATTAAAAATGATTCTCCTACATGCTAGGCTGCTAGCAGCAGGAATATATAAAGCCATCTCATTAAGCTACTTATCTAGCGATATCACCATACCGCAGAATGAAATATTGAAATTAGTTCAAAGGCCAACATCTTTTGAGGATCTCAGAAATCCATGCTTCAAAATATAAAACCATCATTTTCAGTTCAGATAACTAATAAGAATCGAATCAAATCCGCTTCTTTCACAGTAAACTATTCATCTTCACAGTTTTTGCTCCTTGAACGGAAGCAAATAGTTGAATCACTATAGTAGTAACTAAATATAAACATACCTTATGTAGTAAATATAAACAAATGATCAATTGTGAAACGAAATGAGTTTTATTCCGGTTAAAGAAAAAATTACGGAGTATGATTTTAGCAAATGTTAAATAGCTTGTAAATTGTTGTCGCCTCACATCCTAAGCAAATGTTGATAAGAAATAAACATATATGCATGAATGGATGTATACTGAGTATAGATCAAGAGTAAGAGGCACACCGAGAAGGAGAATAGACAGAGGAAGGATACTGAGGGTTCCAGCCCATGAAACAGCCGATTCGAGAACGGAACCAAACCAAGGCGCAGAGGAGGCAAATGGAAAACAGGAGCTTAAACCTACAGCCGCGGAACAAATGCCGCATGCGGCGGTGGAGGAGCGGCAAGCGGCCATTTTATACTCCTCTGCTCACCGCCTTCTCCTTGGCCGGGGAGTAGTCTCCGCCGTTCTGAGCAGCGTCCCTGATGGCGAATTGGCGATTAAGGTCGACATTAGAATATGATAACGAAGAAGAAAACCATCTAATTGACGGATCTGATGCTCTGATTTGTGCTTTCAGATGCGTCCTTTTCTTCTGCTGTTTGAAATTGCATTATTATTGTAACTTTCCGGATCCTGTAGATGTTGATTGCTCGTAACCGGTAGAAACAGAAATCACACCGCTACAGTTGCATGAAAATTTTTACTGCGTACTATTATATCCGACTAATAAGTAATAACGGCTAAAGTAAGTAATACTCCGTAATAAAAAAATGATTAAGGACACAAGATAAAGCTGTATCTTGGAAGATACACTTAGAGCATCCACAATGATTGGGGAGAATTGGGGAATAATGTAAGAGTGATTAGGAGAGAGAACGTGGGAAGGGGAGGAAGAAAAAACAAAAAAATCAAAATCAAAAATTAAAAAACAAAAGAAAAACAAAAAAAAAACAAAAAAAAAAAAAAAACAAAAAAAAACGCGCCTGACGCGCCCGTGTGGGCGGGTTGCTGTGCGCGAACAGCAACCCCTTTTTCTTCTTTTTATGACATTAAACCCAATTTTGCAGGCTGATTATTTTCCAAATAACTCAATCCCACATCAATATTATTTCTGATTTGAGAGATTTATTTCTGAAATAATTCACCATTCTCCCCTTAGTGTGGATGCTCTTAATATAGTGGGTGAGCTCCTGAGTTTTTACTACATGTACTCTCTAATTTTATTTGATAAGTTATTTTCTTCATGTGGGTCTCAATAAGTGTCTACATCAAAGTTTAATGTGTGGGAGTATAAGTTGGAAGTACAGGTAGCATTTTCCTGAGTTCCTGGTAAGTATCTGTCATTTTACTTAATAGGTTGCTAAGAGCATCCCTATTAGGGGGATTGTTCACGTTTTTTTAGGTAAAATAACTTACATGGATGAAAGATAATGAAGTGAGAGAATACTTGGGTTCCTTATGTTAAAATGAAGATTTTGTCAACTTGTGGGCCAAGCTGAGGAAAGAGACCGCCGCAGTGTAGTGCTGTGAAGAACAATTCGCGCCAGCTGGGCGCGTGAATCATCTTGTATTTCTATTTTTTTTTTCCTAATTCAACTTTATTTTGTTTTCTTTTTTCTATTTTTTTATTTTATCTCATTTTTTCTTTCCTAATCACACTTACAAAAACTCTTCAAAAACCGCACGAAAATCCCAACTATTGAGGATGCCCTAAGTCATTCGTGATTTACCTTACTTAATGAGCCGTGTTGTAAGAATGATGGTTGTTGGTTTTCACAGCCTTGATGCCCGCTCGGCTAGCCAACACTACCGAAGAAATGTGCTTGCGAGATAATGAAAACGAGAGGTAAAGTATTAGAAAGAGAGAATAATGTGATATTATTTCTCTAGGATTTTGCCCTCAAAAGTGCCAATCCAGTCCATGGTGATCCCGTGGGGATATTTATATATGAGTATGAGGTTCGTACAAGGTAAGTAGGGTTGACGTAAAGCCACGTCTAAAGGTGGGATAGGGCTGACGTAGGGCTGATGCAGTTGCCTACTTATTACCATAAATCGTCTATACTAATTAAGAAAGCTACTTAAATGAACGAAGATAGCCTCCGCAGAACCCGCTGATATCCGTCTCTAGATACGCACCCGGCCGGGAACGCCCGACCGCCGTGGGGATGCCTTCAGGGGCTCCCGCATCCGGGCAAGGACACTTCGCTTGCGAAGCCTGGTCGCCCGGCTGGGTTCCGGAGCGGTGCGCGGTCGGGGACACGCCGCGCGCGTAGCCTGGTCGTCCATCTGAATCCCGCAAGGTATTCAGCTGGAGACACGCCGACCAGCGAGGCTGGTCGCCCAACCGGGTCTCGCCCTGGAGCCCACCCGACCACGCACCCGCTGCTGAGACTGGTCGCCAGAGGATGAACAGTTGCCGTCATAGGACGCCTTACACCATGGTGGGAGGGCCCTGGAGATCCTCCACCTGCTAAGTATCAAGCCACGCCTTGACTCGGCTGCCTTGCCAGGCCTTCCCGTCCAGCCGGCTATTTTGCAGTATCTATCAATGGTATTTCGCCTTTTGTGGACAATAAAATGATCAAATTCAACTCGTGTAATGGTTTGCTGACCTTTCGGTTTAATGTAATCTAAATTGGTTTATTTCATTGATATCCTTTATTGACTAAGGTCACATGACAAATGTTATTCAAAGGGCGATTACAGACTCTTTTGTTAATCAAAGAAAATGATTAAATTGGTTAAAATTTGTTAATTTCAAATGATTTTTATTAAACATCATATATTATAAAAGATGATAAGGAAACCTATCATACAAATTCTAAGGTTAAGGGTGAAATAAGTCCATGAACTATGTATGAAAAAGGAATTAAGCCCTTGAACTAAAAAAAAAAAAGAAGAAGTTATAATTGACACCTTAACTTAGAAAAAAGTGCACGTAAGTCCATTTAACTAGTTGTCGCACATAACTCCAAGTAAAAGGTGATTGGAATGTCACATATGTTTAGATGACTTGATAAATAATAATAATAATAATAATAATAATAATAATAATAAATAAATAAATAATCGAGTTAGAGTGAGAAAACTAAATTCGTAATTAACTCTAAAAATAAATGCATAGTGAAAGATTCCAAGAAGAAAGTTACAAACTTTACCTATTTTGACTGTGTAAAAACATCAGCATCTCCAATTCAATCAAGATTTTGAGTTACCAAAATGAAGACACTCTAATGGAGTGACGATGCACCGTACCACAGTAACATAACGAAAAACAGTCTTGAATAATTCTTGAAATAAACTAAGTAGCCAAATCTTAAGCATCTATCTGGCTCAGACAGTAGATTCTTATTGTGAATATTTTGCAGGTAGCCTGGAATGTAATGGATCATACAGGCGTAAGCCATGTGACTATGATCGGGCTTCTCACCTTATGACTTCCATCTTTCCAAATCATGTGCCCAAACTCTGGCGCCGTTTGCCGCTCTTTTCTGGTAAAAGTTATCTTGTACGACAGTCTCTGGTTTTTCCTCGTGAAGTTCAGTCTTGTGGGCTCAATCTTGACAGTGGCGCCTTTGAATTCCGTGATTGCTACGTGGTAACTGGAGACCGGAGGGCCAACGTTGGTGACGGTCCGGTGAAGGGTCACCGCCGAAACCCGACGGTCTTCCGGGAATATCATTGAGATGGCCGGATAGTTCAAGTCTCCGGGATTGGAGATCGCGTGTTTGCAGGTCCGGTTGGAGAATTTCGCGAAAACTGCGAGCTGGGCGGGCTCGAGATCCTGGGTGCAGAGGAAATCGAAGTAATCCTGCGGCGAGATGTCGTAGATTAGGCCGGGATTCACGGCTTTTAGCGGGTTTATGTGGCCGGCGCCGTGGTCGTACGAGGTTGAGTTTGTCCCTGTGGCGGCGTCCTTGAGAGAACGGAATGTGTTGTCGTGAACGTACGCCGTTGTCATGAGCGCTGATTTAATGGCGGCGGGGCTCCAATCTGGGTGGCGGGCTTTAAGCAAAGCGGCGATGCCGCTGACGTGTGGGCAGGACATGGAGGTTCCCGACAAGATGTTGAAATTTGTTCTCCGTTGATCTGTCGGCAGACTGGACGGTCCCAAATCGCCGGTCCACGCGGCGAGAATGTTCACTCCCGGGGCGACGAAATCCGGTTTCAGAATCTCCAGGGTGAGGAAATTTGGGCCTCTGGATGAAAACGCCGCCACCACCGGCGATGGCCGGATTCCGGTTTTGGTTCCGAGGAATGCTAAAGTAGCAGTGGGATTCCGGCTGCTTGAAGCGTAGTTCTTGATTGCATTTCCGGCTGTTTCGCCGACGGCGACCGCCGGGATAAGGTGACTATCCGCCACCAATTCTTCCCCGTTAGCTTCGGTGTTTGACAGAATCATTCCTACTCCGCCTGCGTCTTTCACTACTTGGCCTTTCTGAACCCGGGGATTAATCCCTCTGTCGCATATCACAATTTTTCCGGCGACGGCGCGGCGGTCCAGTGTGCCTTCTAAGCAGAGGGAGCTGGGAGTGGGACCGGAGGAACTGTTTCCGACGTAAATTAAAGGGTACTGTTTTTGTACCGACAAATTCAGATTCCTCGTACCTTTGTAAAGTGAAGCTCCGGTTATGATTTTACCCGTGCCGAGCTTTACAGTGGCCGGAAAATCCCTGTCCATGGTGCTGGCGCCGACCGTCGCTATCCACGGCGACACATTCGTGAGGCTAATGGGATCCGGGCCGCCGTTCCCGGCGGAACACGACACGAAAACTCCCATCTCCATAGCTCCAAAAGTCGCGATGGATAAACTGTCTCTAGCGTAAGACGAAACGCCTCCCCCCAACGAGATTGACAGAACATTAACGCCGTCCGCCACCGCCCGGTCCACCGCCGAGAGAATATCCGAGCTGAAGCACCCGCCGGTCCAACACACTTTATAAACCGCGATTCTCGCGCCGGGCGCCATCCCTCTGGCGGTGCCGTAAGCGTAGCCGAAGAGATTCGCCTGGCGAACCGGCGAGCCGGCAACCGTGGCGGCGGTGTGGGTCCCGTGGCCGTCCTGATCTCGCGGCGATTTATACTCTTCCAGCTCGCGAATCTTGCCGGACGCGGCTTCATAGCCGTGGTAGAACATTCTAGCGCCGACTATCTTTTTATTACAGTGATGTTTCGCGAACCCGCGGCCTATCTCGCACGCGCCCTTCCAGTTAGCCGGAACCGCCGCCATTCCGGTGTCATTGAAGCTCGGGCTCTCCGGCCATATCCCGGTGTCGAGCACGCCGACAACGACATTATTGCTGTACAGTTTCCCACCCCAAAGATTCTCGGCTGCTTTTCGATAAAGCCCAAGAAACATAGGACTTCTGGTGGTGTGGAGTTTATAGATAGTCTCAGGGAAAACTGCTAAGACGCCATGTTGTTTTTGCAGTCTCTGAACTTCATCTTCTGTGAGCTGAGCAGAAACTCCATGGAAGGCTGTCTGGTAACTGTAAAGCACCCTTTCCTCCTCGGCACTCCCTCTTTCTTGTTCTTGCTGGAACACTACTGATCTTATTAGCGACGAGTACCATTGGCCATAGCCGGTGAATACCTCCGGCTTTGCCCATTTATCCATCTGGACAATGTATGTTTTCTTTGGGCTTGAGCCATTGGCGAAAGTGCAGGCAAGGCAAATAGACAAGAAGAGAAAAATGCACTTCACTGAGATTCTCTCCATTGTTTCTGACGAAAGAGAGAGTGAATGAGGGAAGAAGATGGGAATGATGAGGTGGTCTTACTGACTCGGTGACTTTGGAATTAGATACAACATTGAGTAAAAAGATTGCATTACAATCCCAAATTTTCACAGCCACTATCTTTTACATACAAGTTTGTTAAAGGTCAATATTTCTGTAAACAGTATTTGAGAGGAGAGATCAAAATTCAGGACTACAACAATGTGAGAATTATGTTTAAGTAGACAGATCATTTGTGTGCACCGACATCTAGTTAAAGAAACAACTATATGAGGCAACCCTATCCAAATTGATCGAGTTGTTAGTTTGGTAATCATAAAGTTTTAAAATTGACCCTGCAGTATATTGTAACTTGTACTATTGGAAATTATGAAATTTCCGACCACCTGAAAGTGATCTTAAATCAAGTTGAAAGCCTTGTTCAGACCACTTTTGGTATCCGAAAAAACCTTTGTTACTATTTCTGACCACTTTTTGGACTTTTTGGTATTAACTTAATTTAAGATCATTTTCAGGTGGTCGAAAATTTCATAATTTCTAGTAGTGTTGTAAGGTCACAAGGCGGGATTACTCAATGTATACTCTCGGGTAGGGGCTGCAGACTTTATAACATGAGCCTTCAAATGTCTTGGAGTCACCATCTTTTACATTTTCTCAAAACACTTGACCTTCTCGATTTGATCCATGCATGCATTTATGGATAACCTAGACTAATGTACTGATCATTTGTCGATTAAAATCACAAGATGGAATTTATCGTAAGAACTGAACCTTAACTTACATCGTACTATTAACCGGCAAAAGAAACCATTAACCGATTGAACTGTGTACCGAAAGCACCCACCAGCTGCTTGGGCAGTTAATGAAGAAGGGTGGTTGGTATCATGAATGTGAGTTGAGTACTTGAAGGATAGTTGGCAGGAGTAATTGGTCATGGTCCAGCCCTTGTGCATCTGATCTGCATGTAATTGATGCTCACTGGTGAAAATACTCTCATGCGTGGTTAATTATTGGTCAACCAATAACTCATAAAACCAAATGTTACATTGTGTCTATGACTTCATTTCATCCTTGGTTGGGATTAGTGCAGTGTGTTTGCTTATTTACAAAGAAATTGAATGTGGGTGCATTGAATGAGGAAATATTGGATATTTTTGGAGACAGAAAAATCATAATCTGGGCCTTTCCTTGAGGGCCACAAAACAATATAATGCTAATTAAATGGAAGGGAAATGGGCAGTGTGTGAAATTAATAGAGAGCATTTATGATTATGGTGCCGTGGGGTTCGTGACATATTAAACCCACCAACTTAGCATTCAACTTTGACCTATTTTCCACGAGAATCCCTATACATAGTATTTTTTTTTTTTTTTGTTTTTTTAAAAATGCCTACATCCATATAGAATAAAGAATAACAGTAGTTGTCCATATGAGCTTAGTTTATTGGTTCAATATACAGTATTTGGAAGAAGAGATAAAGGTTTGAACCTCGACAGCATTGAGTCATTGAGTCACCGTGATTTATATCATCTTAAATGCTCTGTCGAATCAGAGTGTGACGACTTTTAAGATTTTTAAGATTGGGGATTTAATTTTTTTGAGAGATAAGAAAAATAAAGAATAAAAGTAAGGATACTATTAGTCTTTTTATTTAAGCCAATCAACTATAAGCAACTAAGTTGATTTAAATCATTTTGGTATTTTTCTAGCTAAGGTCGACATTGGTTTAAGAGATCAGAAGACCTTGCTTCTACTACCTAAGGAAAAAAATATATACAAAAATAAAAACCAAGAAACCTCTGAATGGGGGAGCATGATCCTCAGCTCGTACGTAAATGTCACTAGTTCGATTTTTGTTAATATTGACTAAGTAGGTGGAAAGTGATTTTTGTACTTAAATATCACTGGTTCAATTAGTGTCAACACTCTCTTGGTTGATCCCATTGTTTGTACATGAAATTGTACGTACCAAAATGTCATTAATTAGATTCTTGCCAACACCTTATTGGTTGAGCCTACTGCTTGTACATAAATGTTATTAGTTTGATTGTTACAAACACCTTCTTTGATTGAACTCGATGCTTGAACATAAAGTCGTACCTAAATATTATTAGTTTGATTCTTACTAACACCTTTTTAATTAAACTTGTTATTTATACATGAAGATCATGAGTTTAATTCTTACAAACATCTCCTCAATATCGAATCAAAAGATTACTCTTTCCTGTTTTCAAATCATGTTTCTACTCCAACTTGCTCTCACACAATAGTGCTATAACTTCGGCCTAAGGCCCTAAGCTTGGGATATGTAGGACCTTCGAGACAGTGTGAAGACCCAAGCAATTGGGTCAATGCCTTCGTCTTGATCCATTTTGGGCTTTTGATTAAATGATCCATGTGAGACCCAATTCTCATCATCAATAGGCCTTTCTTTTTATTATTATTATATTTTTATATAAGTTCGAATTATACTTGTTTGCAAGCTCATTTGTAATTGTAATTGTAATTTTTTTAAAAAAAATTATAATTGTAATTGTAAAAGACAAGGAAACATTCTGATCAACTATGAACAAACTAATTTACTCACGACATTGTAAAAACAGGTGCATAGTAAAAGATAATCAATATTTACATAAGATAAAGAAAGAACTCGTACATTAATTACCATAATTTCATTTTAGTCTACACGGTTTTATAGAAAGTCTGATTCTCATGTCGATCTTATCTTTATCTTTATCTTTATTTTTATCCTCTAATATAAAAAAGTCATAAGAAGTAGTAAATGTAATTTTGACTTTTTTTTTTATAAGTATTGATTAGTTAATTATGCTCCGTGATAGACTACGAAGAACTGGAGGAGCCTAATTGTACATGTCTATATTAATTGAATAAAAATTATTTTAAATATGATAGAATATAGACTAATTAATTATGAAATATTATTATGATAATATTACATGGGATTGTTTGAACCAGTTCATAAATGAGTCAATTGAATAAAAAATATTTTAAATATGAAAAATATAGACTAATTAATTATGGAAATATTATTATGTTAATATTACACGGAATTTGTTTAACCAAATCATAAATGAGTCAATTGAATAAAAAATATTTTAAATATTCTATATAGACTAATTATGGAAATATTGTTAACGTGTATATTTTTTGAATTAGGGAATAATTAATGTGTATTCCTTATATGGTATTATGTAATATATATATAACCAAAAATTAATTAACAATACACAAAATATTATGAATATAGACTAATTAATGAATTAGGTATTAACGTTTATTTTTTTTTTTTGAATTAACGTGTATTCCTTATATGATATTATGTTATATATATATATATATATATATATATATATATATATATATAATTTACTCATATTCTGCACTATGTTTTTAGTCTGTGAATTAAGAACATCCTCTTACGAATTTAATTGAATTAAAATCAAATATCCTAATTTAGGTCCGGTACTGGCATTTTTACAATGTATAATTTAACAATTTAATCAAATTTAATTTATATAGTTTATTTAATAATATTTTAAAAATACAATTTTAACAATATAGTTCCGGTTTTATAAATATTACACGGAACTCGTTGAACCAATTCATAAATGAGTCAATTGAATAACAAATATTTATACAAATCTATATTAATAGTCAAATTAATAATAAATTTTATTAGTTATTAATTATTAGTTAGCATAATATTAATTTATGATATTTTTGTAGAATAAAAAATATATTAATTATGCTCACATGAGCGTTGCACGGTCTAATTAATAGTATAAATTATTTATATAATTTCCTAATATTAATAGTCAAATTAATAATAAATTTTATTAAATTTTGATTAGTTAATTATGCTCCGTGATATACTACGAAGAACTGGAAGAGTCTAATTGTACATGTCTCTATTAATTGAATAAAAATTATTTTAAATATGACAAAATATAGACTAATTAATTATGAAATATTATTATGATAATATTACATGGAATTGTTTGAACCAATTCATAAATGAGTTAATTGAATAAAAAATATTTTAAATATGGCAAAATATAGACTAATTAATTATGAAAATATCATTATGGTAATATTATACGAAATCAGAATTGGTTGAACCAATTCATAACTGAGTCAATTGAATAAATTATGAAAATATTGTTAACGTGTACATTTTGTGAATTAGGGAATAATTAATGTGTATTCCTTATATGGTATTATTTAATATATATATATAATCAAAAATTAATTAATATTACACGACATATTATGAATATAGACTACTTAATTATGAAAATATTATTACAATACTATAGACTAATTAATCATGAAAATATTATTAACATGTACATTTTTTGAATAAGGGAATAATTAACGTGTATTCCTTATATGAAATTATGTAATATATATATATATATATATATATATATATATATATATATATATATAACCAAAAATTAATTAATATTACACGGCATATTATGAATATAGACTACTTAATTATGAAAATATTATTACGATACTATAGACTAATTAACCATGAAAATATTATTAACGTGTACATTTTTTGAATAAGGAAATAATTAACGTGTATTCCTTATATGAAATTATGTAATATATATATATATATATATATATATATATATATATATATATATATATATATATATATATATATATATAACCAAAAATTAATTAATATTACACGGCATATTATGAATATAGACTACTTAATTATGAAAATATTATTACGATACTATAGACTAATTAATCATGAAAATATTATTAACGTGTACATTTTTTGAATAAGGGAATAATTAACGTGTATTCCTTATATGAAATTATGTAATATATATATATATATATATATATATATATATATATATATATATATATATATATATAACCAAAAATTAATTAATATTACACGGCATATTATGAATATAGACTACTTAATTATGAAAATATTATTACGATACTATAGACTAATTAATCATGAAAATATTATTAACGTGTACATTTTTTGAATAAGGGAATAATTAACGTGTATTCCTTATATGAAATTATGTAATATATATATATATATATATATATATATATATATATCAATAAAAATATTCTACATCATCAATTAAAAATGGAATGAAAATTAGGTAAAAATATCACTACATCTAA